ATCTACATGCTGCTGAAGCACATGGTGGACCGCCACAACCTCTACTTCGCCTACCTCCCCGCCAAGCTGGAGAAGGGGATCCACGTGGCCGCCGTGAACCAGGCCCTGGCCGCCCCCATCCTCTGCCTCTTCTGGCTCTTCTTCTTCTCCTTCCTGCGTCTGGGTGAGCGAGCCCTGGGCCTCACGCTCCCGTTCCTGTCCAGACAGACAGACACCCAACCCCTTCTGGCCGGACTCGGAGCCCTGCCTCAGCCCTGCTGGGGGTGACCATGCCAGAGGCCCCTGGCGCTGCCCCCCCATCCCGCGCCCCTGGCGCTGCCCCCCCCGTGCCCTGGCGCTGCCCCCCCACCCCGCGCCCTGGCGCTGCCCCCCCTTACCCCGCGCCCCTGGCTCACCCAGAGGACCGGGAAGCGGATGTGGTTTTCTGGGGGTCATCCTTACAACGTGGCAGAGGTGGGATGGGGGGAGGAGTCTGCCGTTGGGAGGAGGGAAGGAAGGGGACACGGCTTGGGACAGCGGGCCTGGGCCTGACGCCCAGCCAGGAATGAGGTGGCTGTTCCTCGGGCCCCGTGTGCCCTGGCTGCGCCCCGCTGACGGGTCGGCTTGGGCAGAGCGGACCCCGTTCTGGTCTGGGGCTGGGGAGAAGCAGAGCACGGCTCTGCTCTGGGCCCCGCACAGCCGCTTGCTCAGCAGCGAGTGAGCAGCGGCCCCGCCCGCGGCTGCGTCTGCCCCCAGGTCTGAAGGCCCCCGCCACGCTGTTCACCTTCCTGGTGGTGCTGCTCACCATCCTGGCCTGCACCGTCTACACCTGCTTCGGGTGCTTCAGGCACCTCAGTGCGGGGACCTACAAGGTACAGCCCCCCACAGGCCAGGGCCCTGGGAAGATACACCCCCCCACAGGCCAGGGCCCGGGGAAGATACACCCCCCCCACAGGCCAGGGCCCGGGGCAGACAAGCCCCCACCTCCCCCCCCCCTGCCAGAGTTGGTTTATGGGGAGGGGCGGGGCTGGGGTGACTGCATGTCCCTTGCTCCCTGTCCCGCCCTCCCCCTTCCTTCTTGGGCCACGTGGGAGTGGGTGGACCAACCACTTTCATTGTGTTGGTGTTAACAGTCTGATTTGGGTGGATGAGCTCAGGGAGATGTTTGGTCTGTTGGTTTTAGGGTGAGCTCATGGAGATCAGCTCGGTCTGTTGGTTTTGGGGTGAGCTCATGGAGATCAGTTTGGTCTGTCGGTTTTGGGGTGAGCTCATGGAGATCAGTTTGGCCTGTTGGTTTTGGGGTGAGCTCATGGAGATCAGCTTGGTCTGTCAATTTTGGGGTGAGCTCAGGGAGATCAGTTGGGTCTGTTGGTTTTGGGGTGAGCTCAGGGAGATCAGTTGGGTCTGTTGGTTTTGGGGTGAGCTCATGGAGATCAGTTTGGTCTGTCAGTTTTGGGGTGAGCTCAGGGAGATGTTGGGTCTGTTGGTTTTGGGGTGAGCTCGGGGAGATCAGTTTGGTCTATTGGTTTCGGGGTGAGCTCAGGGAGTTGTTGGGTCTGTTGGTCTTGGGGTGAGCTCAGTCTGTCTGTCATTGTGTCTCCTCTCATCTGCAGACAGAGGAATCGGTGAGTGAGAGAGGAAGCGAGGTGGAAGGCCGGGAACCGCCCCCGTTCACGGTGAGCTGCCTGTGCCCCTGGGCCTGCGTGCCGCCCCTGGGCCTGCGTGCCGCCCCTGGGCCTGCGTGCCGCCCCTGGGCCTGCGTGCCGCCCCCTGGGCCTGCGTGCCGCCCCTGGGCCTGGTTGTAGGGCCCGTCTGCGTCCGCTCGGCCTGACCAGGGTGCTTGGGCCAGCTCTTGCTTGTGGAAGTTTGTAGTCAGGGCAGCCGGATTCCTCATCTACGCAGGTGCCTGGAGCCTCAGCAGGCAGAGCGCCCTCTCCGGCTTTCTAACATCTGGTGGGGTGGGGGCTTCCGTGGGCCACAGGCGCTGCGGCGGCCCCACGGCCCGATGGGGTTCATCCCCAGCTTCTGAGAGAGGCAGGCCCTGTGCGTGGCTTTCCCAGCCCCTGCCTGGGGGTCCACACCCCAGGCTGGCAGGGCTGTCCCGTCAGCCAGCCGCCGCCTCCACCAGCCCCTCAGCACTGACACCCAGGTGAGCTGGGGGCAGGCGGCGGGCTGTCCTAGATTCCTGCTAAGCCTGGACATGGGAGGGCACTGTGCCCACACCCGCTGGGCATGTCTGCAGAGGGGTGTGCGTGGCTCGTGCCCAGGTGGCAGCCGGGCCCGGGGCCGCCTGCCGGGCCCATTGCCTCCTCCATAGACGGATTCTCTGGGGATCCTGCTGACAGCGTTCCTTCCCTCAGGGTGGGCTGTCCCCGTCCCTGTGGTGACGGGATGACGCTGGCCCCGTCCCCATGGTCCTGTCCCTGTCCCTGTGTGACGGGATGGCCCTGTGTGACAGGATGGCCCTGTCCTCTGTCCCTGTGTGACAGGATGGCCCTGTCCTCTGTCCCTGTGTGACGGGATGGCCCTGTCCTCTGTCCCTGTGTGAC